AGCCTCTTCCCCACTCCTAGGGGAAACCGCCATACAACTGGTGTGTGTGTGTGTGTGTGTGTGTGTGTGTGTGTGTGTGTGTGTGTTTGTGTGTGTGTGTTTAACCCAGGCCTATGACACCAGAAGCTGCTCCAAGTCAGAATACTCTCTTGCACCTTGAGTGCAGAAGTTCCAGGATGGGTTGAACTTCCTGGGCTTAGTCGCATCAGCGTGGGAGGCTCAGCTTGGTTTCTAGGGGCCCTTGTTTTGAAGGTTATCACCAAGTAAGTGGGGTCATCATCTGAAGATGATAAGATGATGGTAGTCTAGCGAAGATACGCATTCTTAGTTTTCATTTCAAATACTGTCAAACACTTCTTCGTATCTCAGTAGCTATTCTCCTTCCCCAAAGAAGAGCCTGGAAACAGTGGTAGCAAGGGATTCAATATTGCAATATCCAAGCTCTCTTGTGTGGGAAGCAGGAAAATAAAACACTAACTAGGACAGACCCAGGGCCTCCTAGCTGTCCCCCACCTTCAGGCTTTCCTTTTTGACACCTGCACACCTGCAGAACCACTCCCTACGGGGCCCCCAGTGGTCCTACTAGGCTGGAACTCAAATCATTGCATTAGTCTACCCACATAAAAGAAGCTTCTTCTTGAGGTAGATGAGAATTAACACAGAAACACACAGCTGAACAATGTGCAGAGTGAAAGGCTTCAGAATAGCCAGCCCTAAATGGGATGTCTGCATCATACTCCTCCCTTCAAGGCTCAGGGGTCCACCAGGAAGAGGAGACAGGAAGATTGTAAAAGCCAGAGGTGGTGGATGTTTCCACAGAAACAGCATCTTCCAGACACAACAGGACTGATATTTCATATACAGAAGACCTGCACAGGTTCAAACCAGACAAAATCCCCGCATGGAGAAGGGGAAGAAGCTATTTACAATTGATAACTGCTGGTAATGGGGAAATCCATTTGAGGAAAATGGATTTTTCCCTAATGGAATATCATGGGGTATATAAACCACATTCCAGGGCAGGCTCCCATGTGCAGGAGTAATTGGCCAACACAAAACGAACTCCATGTGTTGTGCTGTGTTTTGCTTTGTTTGCTTGTTTGTTTTGTGCGCTTTTTATTTCATTTTGTTTTGGTTTAGTTTTTTTTGTCTTATTTTGATTTTGATTTTTTGTTTTTGTTTAGAAAAAAAGAAAGAACATGAAGTTGAGTAAGTATAGAGGTGAGGAGGATCTTGGAGAAGTTGGAGGAGGGAAAACATGATCAAAATATATTGTATGAAAAAATACTATGTAAAAAAACTTAAGATGACTTCTAAGATTTTTATTGTTTTATTTCCAACATAGTTGACTCTCCAAGGACAAGTTAGAATCAATTGTCCTCTTTCTCTTACTAAATGGTGACTTCCTGCTCACATACAATTTACAGACCCACAAGCCCTGTTCACTTACAATGCATATAGTGTGAGGTGAAGTCTATACATGTAACACAATGCACAGTTTTCTAGCCTTGGCCCAAATCTCCTGGGAGGGGGGACACTAAAAATACTTGTTCCTTGGTGTTCTCTGCCTCAAAGGAAAAATGAAATTCCTCTTTCCAAATTGTCTCTCTTCTCTAACTAACCGGGCTGTTAATGTTGATGTTCTCATTAGATGCAGACATGCATAACATATTGTATTAGTCATATTTCTCACAGCTGTGACAGAATACCTGGCAGTGAGACTTAAGGAGAGATGAGTTATTTGGGCTTGTGGTCCGAGGGATACAGTCTGTCATGAGGAGGAAGCATGGTCCATGAGCATGAAGGGGCTGGTCCTGTGCTCTCACAGTCAGGAGGCAGAGAGAGATGGATGCTGCTACTCTGGATTAGCTCCTTTTTTTTTTTCCTTTTTCCTTTTCTTATGTAGTCTAGAACTCTTGTCCATGGATGGTGTGGCCCATGCAGTTAAACCCCTCTGGAAAAACACTCTCACAGACACATCCAGAGGTGAGTCGAAATCCAGACAAGCTGACAATGGAAATTAACCACCACACAAATCACTGCTGAAGTACCCACTGCATTATCTTTTTGTGACTTTTCTGTTTATTGGCTTTGTTCACGTAGAATCATATTGGTATGCTAATAAAAATAAAATAAATATTTGTAATTTGAAAAGGAGTTTACCATGTGAAGGAGCTACTAGATGCTACTGAGTATGACAGTGATGAATATCAGAGTTCTTACATTTTTATTTTTTTTATTTTGTGTGTAGAGTGTTTTACCCCCTCTCTCTCCCTCCTCCCACCTCCCCCTGTTTGTGTGTGTGTGTGTGTGTGTGTGTGTGTGTGTGTGTGTGTGTGTGTGTGTGTGTCTATGGGATCTTCAAACTGAGTAAAAGGCGCCCGTGTTTCGACTGGAATGGATATTATTAGTGCTCTCTCTCTCTCTCTCCCCCTGTTTGTGTGTGTGTGTGTGTGTGTGTGTGTGTGTGTGTGTGTGTGTGTGTGTGTGTACCATGGGCATGCCTGGTACTCTTGGACGCCATCTCTCTGGTCCCAAATGTCATGGTTTGATATAATAGGAGGTGAAGATTGGTGTTCACCAGCGGAGTTTTAGAGGAAGATCTCCCTCGGTAGACAACTGTGTTGCATAAAACACTTTACCTGAGGATGTGCCTTTTCCTCTGGAGTGAGCACTGGCCATTTGATTCCACTTGTTTTCTTCATTGGTAGACTTAGAATTTTTGTTTTGTGTCACTTTGAACAGCAACTGTTCATGGTGGCATTCCTAAAACCACAAGCAGGTTCTTCTTATGACTAGAGTGAACATAAAACTCAATAGTGTAGAGGCTGAAGAGATGGCTCAGCGATTAAGAGCACTGACTGCTTTTCCAGAGGATCCAGACTCAATTCCCAGAACCCGCATGGTGACTGGTGGCTCACTACTCTCTGTAACTCCAGTCTCAGGGGACCCAATTCCCTTTTCTGTCCTCTGTGAGTACCAGGCACGTGGGCACTGTACAGACAGACATACAGGTAAAATGTCCACACAAATATAAAATCCTTTTTCTTTTTTAAAAAAGATTTATTTATTTTATTATCTTATGTGTATGAGTGTATTGCCTGCATATGTACTACCTCCATGCCTAGTTCTCACAGATGCTCAAAGAGGATGTCCGACCTCTTGGGAGTGGAGTTACAGATGGTTGTGAACCATCATGTGGGCACTGGGAATTGAACCTGAGTCCTCTGCAAGAGCAACAAGTGCTCTTAAACATTGAGCCAACTCTCTAGCCCACAATAAAATTTTCAGAAATATCAGTGGTGTAGAGCCTAGCTGCAGCAGGGTCCTGACCATATCCTTCTGTGTCTTTGGCCCTGGGTTTTCTTCATCCTTTCATTCAACCTATAGCAGCACATGGATCTTCCTCAACTGTGGATAGCAGTATGCTCTCCATACTTCACACACACACACACACACACACACACACACACACACACACACACACACACACAGGAAATCAAGATTCAAAATGGAGACAAAGTACTTAGGAGTTTAAAAAACTGCCCAGAGGGAACATTCATTCCCCATACAAAAATAGAAGCCATTTCCTGTTGTTTTTTTTTTGGGGGGGGGGAAGAGTCTTGCTAAGTAGCCCAGGTTGTCCCTGAGCACATGATCCTCTTCTTGAGTCTCCTGAGTTTAGAGATGTGCGCTAACATTCTCAGTCAGCTTTCCAGTGCTGAATGTCTTAGACAAGTACAATTTTATAATTGAATTGTCAACTCCTAGGGGACAGAAGTGACATGTGAAATGCTAGGCGTTTACAGATGCTCCAGATTCAAAGCCCACAGGCAGCTAGCCGAGATGAAAAGGGGGAGAACACAGAACATGGTTACTTCTGAAAACAGAGTGCTTCCCTGGTAGGCATTCTTTATTCAACCAGTCATTTGAGGACACATACAAACTCAAATGGAGGAAAATGCCAACTTGGATATCGATAGCCTACAAGGACTAGACACAATTGATAAAGGACATTCAAGGTCAGGCCTGATTACAGAAGAAAGTGTGGCAGCTGCCTCCCTATGTCATAGGTCACACTCTGGTACCATCTTCCCCAAACTGACAAACTCTTCCTTGGCCTTGATTATAAGAGCCTTCTCTAGGCCAGGCATTGGGTGACGAATTTAGACATAAGATTTTGCTTGAGTGCTATTAACACCCTCAAACGGCAGACTGGCATCGGATGAGGAAATGGCACATGAGTGGTAACTCAAAGCTGCTGAGTTAGGATTCAAACCTGGCATCTGGCTCTAGAGTAAGCATCTATTCCCTGTGCCAGTCAGGAGATGAAAACAGTGGGCAGAGACTTGCAGTACTCAGTCTAGGAACATTCAGCCCTCCACTAAAGTTTAGCATGCAGCCAGCCCACTTCGTTTCCCAGACCTGATTTCTGCAAGGTTATTTAGGTTCAGAATGGCGCTTACCTCTTCCAGCAGATGGCAGTAGCTTAAAATACTCTCTAGTGCCCCCATCAGGACGCAGCTGGTACGAAACAAGGTAAAGGACTCTCTTTCCAAACTGGGTAGAGACTCTTGTAGGTAGTTTATTGAATGAAGACCTGATTTAACTTAAAATTTTCAATAATCCATCCACTAAATTTTTCTGGCGTTGGGAACTGTATCGAGGACATGTGTATATCAAGCACATACTGAATCAGTGACCTAAGCCCCAGCTCCCTACCCACTGCATTTGACACAGAAGTCAGGAGCCCCATGAACGGGCCATCGAGCCACAAATCCTCTAAAAATCGAGTACCAGTCTCTGCTTCTCATATTTTTTAGCTAGCCATCTTTCATTTTCATCAGATTTTCAAAGGGTTTAACTAAAAATGTTCTAAAATCATTACCATCTTTGTTCTTCAGCACTGTGCATAAATAAAATTATTACGTGATAGTCAACTTAGGGACAAACACAAACCCTTAATGCAGCACAGTGTCTTACTCCTCTTCTCCTGGCAGCCAGCCCTGCATTTTGGAAAGCACGCTGAAGCTGGAACGAGAAGACCTTGGTCCTTACGGCAGCTGGGCCATTGACTAGCCATATGTTCCAAAAAAAAAAAAAAAAAAATCAAAAATCCAGCTTTCTTCAAGGACTCAGCAAGCTTTTCTTCAAGGAGAATGACAAGATGTGCCCTGGCTGCTGAATGTAAGGCTCCACTTGTCACCTTGAAATGTATGATTATCTGGGGGAGCATTCTTTCACTCTGGGGAGTGACCAGTGTTATACACAACATTTTCCTAAGGGTTGGGGCATGATTGGCAGGGCCAACAGTCCTCTTGCCTAGTTAAACAACAAAGGAACGTTCACAGATACAACAGGTGGGCAGTACAATGAAAGGAAAGGCATGTGCTTATCCATCCTTAGGTTGGAAATGGGGAGATACTATGGCTTTCTTGGGTTGCCAGCCACATGATGAATGGCTGTCAATAACCACGCTGCTGGTTCAGGGCACAATAGTGAAGGCTGGTGGTCTCTATCCGCATTATTTCTTTTTTAATGTGGTCTGTTAGTTTGGCATTGCTCCATCGCAGGTAATGACTCCCAAGGATTTGGTAGGAGTGGGGTTAGGATCAGAGTTTCTGGACCTAATCTTGTCCAGAAATTTGCTAACTAAATACGACTATGGCAAACATGTTCAGGCTCCTTCAGTGACAGTCTTAGCCCCTTAAATTATCTATCTGTCTTAATAAATTCTGGTGTTCCTAAACCCCAGAGGCTTCCCAAGACCCAGCTGAAGAACCAACTTATAATGTTTTTCAGAGGCCTTTCCTTGAAATTGTTTCAATCCTTTGGTCTGGTGGCTTTGTATCTCTGAGCCTAATGACTGTTTCTGTTTAATTTTCAGATGCTTAATTACAGTGGAACACTTCAACACCATTAAATTAAAACAAGCTACTAGCTTGTTCTTGATTGTGGCCTGGAATTCTTCCAAATGACGTTGACAGCAATATCAGCTATTTAATTCATACCACACATTTAGCTAACTTCGCGACAAAATTGTGAAATGTCTTGCACAAATCCGCTTGTGAGCTAGGAACATTTCCACGAGGGTAAGATTTTGGGCAGCATGTCTCATCTGCTAATGAGTTTTTAGTGTTCTGCAGAGACCAGAGTCTCTCGTCTTAGAGTATAATGACTTTCCAATTTGGTTTTCATAAGAGCCGCTTATATTACATTTTGCAAAAACTAATGAAATTACTTATTTCTTGTAATCATGGTTTTATTTACATGGCCATGTGACCAAGGCTATTATTTAAAGTTGGCAAGTGAGCAGACAAGCCATCAATCCATGGCTTTCTGGTGTGGAAAGCAAGCTTTTTAGGCGCTATGAAGCCCTGCAATGCAGGTACGTGTGTTGGATGGGAGTTAAAGGCAACACAAGGCCCCTGTAAGATAATATTCTTGGGGAATGGATGTTAAGAGTTAGTTTGGGTCTTTACAACATCAGTCATATGGGTATTGTTTGCATCTGACAGTTTTTCTTTTAAGATTAATGTGCTTATGAAAACCTTGTGCGTTACTCTGTGAGGCAAGCTTGAAATCCATCAGCATTACCATCGGAATGGCACAGTGCTGGGAGAGCACACCAAATGACAAACAGGATCTGGTTCTCAGAGGCCAGTGTGTGTTGAAGAGAAATGATCTGAAGCCAAACTTGGCCTCCTTCCAGAAATTCCTCCTGCTGCACTGTTGGCACAGCCCATAACAGGGTAGAGGCTAGAAGACAGGGGAGGGCTGAGGGGCAGGGGGAGGGCTGAGGACAGGGGAGGGCTGAGGACAGGGAGGGCTGAGGGGAGGGGGGAGGGCTGAACAGGGGAGGGCTGAGGGGCAGGGGAGGGCTGAGGACAGGGGAGGGCTGAAGACAGGGGAGGGCTGAGGGGCAGGGGAGGGCTGAGGGCCAGGGGAGGGCTGAGGACAGGGGAGGGCTGAGGGGCAGGGGGAAGGCTGAGGGACAGGGAGGGCTGAGGACAGGGGAGGGCTGAGGACAGGGGAGGGCTGAGGACAGGGAAGTCAGAGAAGAAGCATGATTAACTAAAATCTTGCTCTTTGTAGAGTCACCAGTAAAACCAAGTCCCAGGCATTAAACAAACAAACAAACAAACAAACACGTGAAAAAATGATACTTTCCCTGGACCACTAGAAAAAAAACATTTCTAACTTCATCCTTTGACAGGCAGTTAGTGATAGCCAGCGGAAATACACATAGGGAAAGTTCAACATCTGGTTGTATTGGAGGAAAGAAAGGACTAGCGGCTTAAGGGGAGGAGAATGACAAAGGACCTCATTAGCATAAAAAACGGACACTTGAGCTCACCAGAGGGGAAGGAACCACCTGGCTTGGTCTCCAGCCCAAGAGCAAATCCCACTGATGACCAGCTGGAGAAACCTGGCTGGTACCTGTGGATGTGACAGCTGTATCAGACCCTTGTTAAGCTCATGATGACCTGATGTCATACAACGATGGAGAATGGATGCCAGGTCTGGCAGGTCTGAGGAGTTTCACTACCCACCACCATCACGTTGGCTACCATTTTTCTCCATTTCAGACAGTTTCATTTCAACACAATTTAGTCCGATCCTACTTTCTCAGCTCAGAAGGTGGGTGGCCAGAAACAGATGAGAACAACACTTGAGAGTTTCCTCGATGCACAGCTTTTTTTGAGTCCCAAATCACTTCCAAATGCAGCAGCTCAGCCAAGCGCCAAGAGATCACGCTGCGTGAGGCAGCTGCACATTTGAGAAGGGAGGAATTGGTGAGACCCTGAGGCAGCCTCTGCCAGTGGACTGGGCCAAGAGGCTGTCACTGCCTAGGGGGGAGGCTGGATTTCACACCATCTCAGCCTAGCAGACGCTCCGCCAGTGAAAGAGGGTTGCCTCCTGTCTGGCCTGGGCAAGGCTAAGTGGCGTGAGGAATAACCAGAGAGCAGATTCCGCCAGCTGCCTGGGATGCAATCCTAGACATCTGCATCCAGGGAGCTCCTTCAAGCTCCAGGCCTCGGAAGATGGTGAAGACTGGAATTCAGCCTGGCTGGAGATGGATTTCTCAACAAACAGCTTGTATGTGCCTCTGTGTGGCTTTTAAGGAAGGGAGAGAGACCTGGTGTCTAGACCTGCTGGAGTTGCCTCTGCACGGTGCTCACCTCTCTTCACTTCCCAGGTTTCTCACTGTTAGAATACACGATGGTCATCCCTGCAGCCTTGGGCAGGTGAGCTTCTGAATGAGTCCCAGGGTACCTGAAAGTGGAAAACATTATACTATTCTGGCTTTTCCAGAGAGTGGGCATATGTCCCCAAAGATGGCAGCTCCCACAGGGAGGGCGTTGGACTATCAACGGTCCCACCTCTTATTTTAGCCTGCGTGATAGAGGCAGTCCAGTGGAGGGAGGAATAGAGTTAGTGTGCCAGCCCCACTCCTGACACCCACTTCCACACGGTCCCTGAGCAAGCCATTAACGGCTTGGCACCTTTACCCCACATCTACAAAAGGCGCTGACAGCAAGGAATTCATGTCTTACTGAGTTTATCATCATCACAAACCTAGTCTGTTGACAGAACACCAGATTTTCTAAGAGTCAAGCTCAAAGTCTTGAAAATAAATAAATGGAATGTATTTAAAGACTTGAATGTCTTTCCCATGATGGTGGTATGAACATATGTCTGCTTCATTCTGCTGAACTAAAACTCCAGGGGATATTCAATATTTCCCTCATTTTCAATAAATATACCTCACTCTCTTCTCTTCCCTTTAAGCCTGTACCATAAGCCAACTTGTTCTTCTGTTATCCCATTAAAATGTCCCAAGGGGTCGTTATTCATACAGGTCCTCAGCGTACATGAAATCATTTGTCTTTTTGGTGTTGAATGCTGAATTTTGGAAATATTTGGAATCTTTGGGAATGGGTTATTCACCCCATCTTCTAGGCATCCTATGGCTCAAGGAGCTATATAACTTCTGTGCTTTCTGCTCAATCATGGTGAGGAGGAAGCTCAAACACTGCTAGTTGGAGGTGAAACTGAACAACCTTTGGAAGAGACACTAGACAACCTGTCAAAAGGCTTTGAAAATGGGCATCCTGTTTCCCTAGTGATTATCTTTCAAGAATGCCATCCCCCCATCACCACCATTTTCAAATGTATATGAGACCACTTAGGTCACCCTCAGGGATAGCCATATAGCATAGTTCAGAAAACATAGAAGCAGTATAAATATCTAATTATAGGAAGCAATTTAAGCCATGGTACATCCATCCAATATATATATAATTAAAAATCATGTCAGAATACTAATATGTGGTGAAAATATTCAGAACAGCACTTACTTGGGAATGGGAGGAATCTGATCAGGAAGAAGTGGAGATAACCTGTAAGTTGATAGTAAGGTCCTGTGCCCTGATAGCAATTTGTATTATACAGATGTATCTGTCAAAACCCTTTGAATGATTCACTGAGGATTTGTCCATTCCATTGTATGTCAATAGCTCTTAAGCAAAAGATCATCAAGTATCAATTTATAGTTAGTTAGTTATATGCATGCTGAGATGTTTAGGGGTAAAGCACATAGATGTCTTCAGCTTCCCTGGTCTCTAGTCTGAATGTTTGTGTCCTCTACCCCATGTTTCTGCATTGAAATATAATCTTCAATATGATAGTGCTGAAAAGGAGGATATTTGGGAGGTGATTGTGTGAGAGCTCTGCCCTCAGAAATATCACTGGGGGTCTGTTAGAGGACACTCCAGAAAAGCAGTTATCTCTCCCACCAAAAGGGGATATGGGAAGAAGTCACCACCTATAAAACCTATGAATCAGAATGCGGGCCCTCTCCAAACATCAGTGTACTGGTACTTCCCAGCTGCCATGACTGTAAGAAATAAGTGTTTGTTAGCTACATGTAACCTGAATAGACCGGGACCTTTGCAATCTGTTGTAAACAAAATGGACCAATGGAGAGCAACAGTGACCAGAAGTGAGTAAGTGAATATCAAATGTGCTCAAAGGTTGGTTACAGAACATAGGTTGTGGACATGCAGGCCTTTTCCTGCTTCTAATCTCAACTTTTCTCTTTAAAGTTGTCATTGAAAATGTAGAGAACAAGATGACAGAACATTTTAGTGATGTTCATGCCCTTAAAATGTGTTTGGTGTTATTTTTATTAAAATAGCTATCTTGTTTATATCCACGTTTTTTCACAATGCACATTCATTTATAATTAGAAGTTGCTTCTTTTTAAAAATGATTATGTATATAAATGATTTGCCTGCATGTATGTTTGTGCACCACAGACATGCCTGGTGCACCAGAGGCACAGAATTAACTGGTTGTGAGCCTCCATGTGGCTGCTGAGAACCAAACCCTAGTCCTCTGTAAGAGCAGAAAATGCTCTTAACTATTGAACCATCTCTTCAGTCCAGAAGTTGCTTCTTTCAATTTCTTATTTTGCTCAAAGTGAATATGGAGACCCATGTTGCTAGCAGGTGAATGGTCTCGTGTTGTATGTTCTGTGAGGCCCATACTAAACTTCCACTGAAAAAGGTCTTGTTCACAGGCTTTGTGAACACAGCCCATTTTTGCCATTTCTTATAGTTCCCAAAGACTCTGAGATGTGTTGCTCAGTTGGCAATATTCCCTTCTTTGAGATTCATCTAAGGGTGGCTTAAAGACAGTCATCTGAAATGATGTGGTAACACCCATCACGCTTGGACTCCTAACACCCCATGAAGCAGTAGATTGAGTTTCAGGTTTCTGTATCTCTGTTTCCTCTGGGAATGTTTAGTACCAAGGAAGGGTACAGCCAGAGTTAGTATAGCACACATGCTAAGTGAGCCTCAGCTTCTTCGTTACTTCAGCGCTGAAGTCATAGGGCAGAAAAGTCAACTGCATACAGG